TATAAGTATTATTTTCTTTACAGAAAAGGAATCACCTAAAAATTAATAAAAATGAATAAGATACAAGCTTAGATCGGGCGTTCAATTTGAATGTCAATAAGCATAGATCAGAAAGCTGCGTTTGACTTACCTCGAAGTATTCATATTGACATTTTTGTGGAAGACTTTAAGCAGCGTAGAAGTGGCTCACACATGCAAATATTCGTAAGCAGTTAGATTAAAAACATTAAAAAATAACTTAATATTTTTACTCAGTACACGATGTGTGGCCAGGGCATGCCACTAATCCAAGCTTTTTAATTTTTCCACAAATAAATATAACTAATTCAGTTAACAGATAATTAGCGAAAAAAATACCTTGGCAATGAATAAAAATTATGTTTATACATTTAAAATTTAACTAATAATGTACATTAACTCAGTAATATTCAGCAAGTCATTCGCCTTGAAAACTTCCTCACCCACGCTCATAACATAAATTTATTCTATAAACAAAACCGATGTGCAACAATAGTTTAATAAAGTTAGCACACAGTTAATTTGAGCCCACGGGGAACTAGAGGAACTAGAAAATGGCAGAGATGGAAAATCTCAATCCGATGGTGAGAATAATACTAATTCATAATAAAGCAAAAATAAATGACTCACGAAACTGTAACATTTTGTTCTGTGTTAAAATGCGGCAAGAAAAATTATTACAAAAAAAAAAAAAAAATAACTGAATTTAATTAGCGGCATGTAGCGTTTTGAATTTTCTAGCTAAGTAATTTGTGCGCTTGTTTCATTGTTGGTTATTGTTGGATATTTAATTCTATTAGCACCATTTTTTTGTTTTTTATTTTTAATATTTTATTTGGATCTTTTTGTGGCGTGCTGGTTACACGACTCACTACCGGTGTCGTGGCGTTAAACGAAAAGCTCCGCTTGAAACGCTGTGCGTTCTTCGGTGCCGTTAGTGTGAGTTAAGAGTGCCAAAAGTAATAATTTTGAATTAATTTTTATTTTTATTTAATTTTTTTCATTTTTAAATCTATGGTGAATTAACTGTCTTTTTTGACAGCTCTTTGTTTCCGCAAGTCATTGCTGTTAGACCGTTGTTGCTGTTGTTCGTGGTCAATATTCACATTTAATTATTCATTTTGTTATATATGTGCATGCGTGTGTAAGCAATCAAATCACGAGCGCGTTGCAATTATTATTGTAGCAGAAATTAAACGAATATTCAATCTATTATTTTATTAATAAAATTTAAAATTTATTAATTGCGGCGTAAATAATTCGTTGATTATGTTTTAAGAAAACAGAATAATACGAAATGTATAATAATTTGATTATTTACGTTCGTTAGAGCATTTAGAATCCTATAGCGGCGTACTTTCAAATGAGAAAAAGATTTATTAACACCAACAGGTGTTGGTGAAAATTAAATTCATTCAAATGTCCATATGCCATAAATAACAAAAGTTAAGTCAATAAAAAATGATCTTTTTAGACAAAAAAAGAAACGAAATTCATATTGAAGTTGGTTAAAATGTCTTAAGGGCAATTTTACCTCCTTTCCCTTTCCGCAGCATTTATTGGTATTGAAATATCGTAATTTTCATAAAGGTGCTTTTTTTAGACATGTGATTTTCAATAGAATTAAAACGCTTAAAATTTAATATTATTACCAAAATTTTATCTCTATTATTAGGATAAGGTTTTATCTTTTCGTTTTAAAAGTGATTTTGGAAGCTGAATGCCGCGAAAGATACTCCAGCCGATATGCACAATTTTCGGTCCCATTCTGCAGCAATTTGGGCTTTATGTGAATAATAACGCGCCAAATATTCTCTTCCAAGGGGTCAATCGTCTCCGGCTTACCTGCGTAGACAAGCGACTTCACATAAGCCCACAAAAAAATTGTTCAGCGGTGTTGAATCGATTGACCTAGGAGGTTTCGTCAAAGTGCCTCGACGCATGATAATGCGCAGTGAAGCGAATGACCGCTGACGTAATTTAGGTTTGACAGAGACAAAAGCTGAGCTTTCTGTATCTCAAGAATGCATTTGTACCATTTTCCGTTTTCTTAAAAAGCCCGATCGCGTAAAGTTGCTCTGAAGACGTGCTGTTTGGAGTGGATTCCAACACACTTTCATAAACTGCATTGTAAATGGTGATGAAATATGAGCTTACGAGTTTGATACGTAAAGTAGATTCAGAAGATAAATCTCCAAGATTTTGTACCACGATATAATACAATCACTCAAGTTTATCATTCTGAAGGAAGTTTTGACCAAAAATGCATTTTGAAATTATTGTTATTTCCGAAGTGGTGAATACTGAAACTTTTTACGTTCTAAAAAATTGATTCTAAAAATTTGTTTTTTTCTAATTTTTTGTCAGTTGATTCTTATTTATATTTTTTTTATTACGCTCGGAAGGGTTGACTTTTCCTGACATGTGGCAACGACAATTAGAAATTTTTATTGCTTATAATTTCAGCTAAGGCGGCCGCTGATATACTTAAGAATAAAATGTAATCAGGTTATTTTGATTTCTTGTCCGTTAATTACTCGTACGTTTTTAAGCAGAAAAGCGTTGAAAAACACACAAAAGGCGAGGTAAAAAGATGATTATCACAAGGTAAAAAAAAAAAAATAAACAAAAAAGTTTTAAAATTTCCATTCCTAGGGTTTATCATGTAGGTGTGTTACTCTTTTTCCGAAAATTTAGCATTTTTTTTTAATTTCAAGCCGAAGTATTGCCGAACTGAATAACTAAACTTTTCCGATTTTACATAATGATTTTTTTTTAATACATGCAACTCAAATGAGATATGTTCTATTTATTATGTTGAGATTCCTATTGAAAATAAACTACCTGGGTTGTAGTCCAGCTGCTGGGTACGCAGTTACAGTCGCAGGGCTGCACTCAATTCCTATTCTATGAACAACCCTTGTGCAAGTTGCTTTGACAAGGCCATGGAGAAGCCTTGGGTCACGTCTAAAAGAGAGGAAGTTTCAGTGGAGCCACTTCGACTTATTCGGCTTAAGGGTTCGCTGAAGTTTAAATGCAGCGTCTGCTCTCCAGAGGTGCGGCTGTGAGCGGTCGTTGGTTTTGAGGCAGTGAAGTAGTGCGCGTATTTGTGGGCTTGGGACTTGTCACAACGTCACCTGCCCCAATGAAAAAAATAAATACCATTCCTTCTGATGACTTCTCATATTTGCCGTGGCCAAAAATAGTTACCGTGACCCGATATTGCCATGATTTCGTATAAGTCTTTCATTTATTGTTGAAAGAAAAGATCTGAAATATTGTAAAAGCCACGCCTCCTACGCCAGTGGCAGGTATAATTGAAAGTGTTCCGTTTTTTTTAATTAGGTATAAAGCTTCAGGTTATCTCAAAAAGTCAAAACATGAAATTTGGTATAGATTGGGGCTCAGGCACTCTACCGCACATAGAAGTTTGAAGCTCCAAACTTCAAACAATTCATCGAGTTTCAATGTAGATGTCAATAAAAAAAGTTAAAATTATGAAATTTTTCCAGCCATGTCTTTTCTGCCTACTAACCGGTACGATTTAAATATGAAAATAATTCTTTCTAATCGCTCGAATAACCTGGATCTTCATAGTCAGCAACACTCTTATCACATGAAGTATTTACTATACAACACAGCTTTCCTTTACAGAATTATATAATGACTGATATTCCCACTAAATTTTTATAAAAAATCTTAGCGACTAACATCAATTCGAGCTAGACTCGAAGGAGTTAAATGTGAAAACGAATTTTGAAATTTTCTTATGTGAAGTATTTACTCTCTTTCTAGAAAGACATTTTCTAACCTCGTATTTAAGAAGGTTATATTCTCGTCATAATATACGGAAGGCTGAGTAAAACGATGAAAGAAAAGCGGCTGACAAAGTCGCGGCCGAAAGTACTTAATGAAACAATTCAGTGTTTTTTGCCTTGTATTTTTCAATCTAGTCTTCTTCAAATGAAATCCACTTTCTCGTCGTGTTTATAATGGCTTTATATCACTGAAAAAAATATTCTTTAGATTTCTTTTCATAACGATTTTCTACGGCCGCCTTCATCTCAGTGTAATTCGCTTTTTTAAATTTGAAAAAAAGGAAAAAAGTCACTGAGACCCAGGTCCGAACTGTAGGGTAGATGGTAAATTTTTCTAAAACCAGTGGATTTTAAGCCATCCTACAATCCACGCGGTGAGAGCTGGTGCGTCGTCTTGAAGGAAAAGCACTCTGCACGTTAACTTGTCACGTCTGTTCTGTACGACTGCCTCAAGCGGCTGACTCAATAATTAGGCGTTCCTTGTTGTTCCCTTTGGCAAGTAATCCCAGAAAAAAGTAGCCATAATTTTCATCGCCGACTTTTCCGCATTGAATTTTTTTGGCCTTTCCCCTTTTTTATGCAGTGCATCGCCTCCTGTTGAACTCAGACTCATACCGACGAATCCAAGTTTCACCAATTATTAGAAATTGTAAATTTCATCCAAAATTTCTTGGCACAACTCCCAAAAATTGTTAAAATTCTCCAATATCCAATCGTCGCTGCTTGTCAGGCCCCTCGACATTCGCGGTACTCAAAGCGCGCTAATTTTTTTCATATGTTCATGCAAAATATCTCCAGCTTTCTCTTTGTTCTGTAATCCTTTAATGAGACACGCAATTAGTATTACATTCACGCTCAACGGCACTGAACGCTTCTTTTCAGTCTTATTTAAGCATTCCCATTTACTTCTCTCTCTCTGTCTCTCCCTCTCTCTCTCCTTGATTCAATAGCTTGTTTCTATGACTTTCTGACACCTCATACGAGTACATGCTATCCTCACGTTTAATTTTCATTAACAAATGAACAAAGTGGCCCACGAATTAGGAAGTAAACTGAGAGCACTGAAATTATTTTTTAATGGTCAATTTTTTACGGTGATTACTTCCAGCCACTTGTAGAAGTCATTTTGTTTAATAAAAACTAAATACTCGCTGCCTGTCTTACCTTCCCTCACTGTGTTAGTGGTAACAGCTCCCGTTGTTGCACTTATGGCTGTTGTTGTAGTAGTACCGGCAACATTTGTCGGCTCAATACGAATACGTTGAACTACACGTCTGCGCACAGGACGTTCACTTGAACTATTTTCCTTTTCTGGACCACAACACATTAAACAACACACCTACAAACAAATTGCGGTAAAATGAAAAGAAAATAAAAACAAATCGCTTGGAAGATTTTGCAACCGTATTTCAAACCCGCTAACTTACTTTTGTTATAAGATATATAAGGAAGAAAGCAATAATTATTAAGAAAACAACACCTATGTCACCCATCTTCTCCAATAAATGGGCAAATCAAATTCAAATATCACTTTATTATATCACAACGTTTATCACACAAATCTTCGATTAAGTAAAATATAATAACGGCAATTATAATTGTGAAGGAGTACTTGATGATAGACTCTGTTAATTTGGTACAAGTATGTTTAAGTGCAGGGTTAGGAAAACATTTTTATTCTGTTCTATAGTATTTTTATTTTATTTCTTTTTTCTTTACACAACTATTTATTTTATAAAGTGCATAATTTTCATTTAAAACACCCCAGCAGGCACTGGTTATCGCGACACAACTAAAATAACATATATCACTGACATTTGACTCTGCTGGTATTCCCTTTCAAAGAAATTGATAAAGCACGCGCCCAGTAAACCACAAAAGGAGACCACAAATGGTATGCACAAATTTATGTAGAATGTCAAAAACTCGAGTGAACTCTAACGAATTATTGCAATAACTGGAAATTGATAAAGAAAAATAACGGTGTGAAGTTTTTTACAAAACTTTTTGCTTGAGGATGGAAAAATCGAAGTGAGTATCAAATTCAATGATATTTTTTAACTAAATTTTTTATTATAAACTAATTTTCTATAAGTTCTTTGATGTTAGTACGACAACGTTTCATTAATTTGTTTTATATAACTTTAAAAGCAAAACCCTAAACTGTCTAGATGCACTAGTTGGAACATTGATGTTTACCTCAGACAAGAGCCATGAACTACTAATTGATCCGTTAAGAAGTTTGACTACGAACAATGCGCCTAACGTTTTTCTACGACTTTTGAGAGTAGGTAGAATAATAGTAGACTTAAAAGTTTTAAACCATTGGCATAGGGGGAAATGTTTTATTCTATGAAGAGTCTCTTCGGAAATGTCTTAATGCAAAATATGAAAATTGTTTCATAACATACTCTGATTTATCGGAATGATATTGATAATTAAGCTGCCGCGGTAGTCTGGTCTGAAGACCAGTGTTCGATTACGTATATGAATATGTGCTTTTTTATGAGGAGCTTTATTTCATGTCAGAAATACTATACACTCGGAAGAGTTGACATTCTGCCGTCCTGCCGAGGGTAATTCAAGCAAATTTTTAAGCTTAAATTTTTATTTACAAAATCTGTGTTGAGAATAGGAAAGTAGTTACGAAAACGAAAACGTATTTTAGATAGTAATATATATATATATACATATATATATATATATATATATATATATATATATATATATATATATAACCGCTAAAGGGATTTTTCGGCCGAGCTCCTTCTCCAATTTGAGGTTATACGTGTTGATGTTTTCCAAAAAATGGAGGGACGTACAGCTTATACTAAGCCGCCTCTGAGCGGTTGATGGGTTTCTTACGCGGAGTCTTTATTTCATGTCTTAGGTGTATTAGGTCTGTTGAGCTAATGGTTGTATTTAAATATATAAAGTAATCGATAAGTATATCGAGATATAGAAATATCGATTACAATGACTTGGTTCACACATTTCTTGCGTCAAAAATATGCACACAAGAATTGTTGAAATCGAACCAAGTTCACGCCGACCTTCCATATAATGATATTTTTGATAAATTCAAAAATGTAAAAATTTAGTAAGCAAATGTTCAATGAAAATATAGAAAAATAATTCCGGTAATAATTAATTTTAAAACTAAGCGCGTTGTACATGAATAAAATTTGGAAAATTATCATTAATATATTTTTTTATTAAAAAATTCATTCCAAATCATTTTTTTTTTTGTACAACTTTTGCTGTTATTTAATCAAAATAAGTTAACTGGGTTGAGGGAAAGAAATTTAATAGACACATTTATTTATATTCATGACCTTATCTATCTATAGTGATTAGCGATAATTTACCAAATGACAAATATGACTGAAAACTTACCTAAATACCTACACATGTATTTACTTATATACAGGCATTATAATTTCACAATTCCGTTATATTGGTTAATAGAAACAAAAAATAAAAGCAATTGCGTAAAATAACAGTAAAGGAAATGCAATGAATTGTGTCAGCTGATAAATTCATGAAAATACTGAATTTAAAATCGTTAAAACAAAATTAAATAAATTAATACATTTTATGTCAATTGCAAGCAAGAACTCCAAATATCTATTACCTTAAATTTCTATTGGAAACCAAAAGAAAATATCAAAAGATGAAGTTAAATAAAGCATTTCACTTTAGCAAAAACCTTGATTGTCATTGTGGCCGCAGTAGTCGAGTGGTTAGCATTGCGCACTGCCATAGATAGGCCAGTGTTCGAGCCTCAGTTCGACCAACATACAAAATTATAGAAAATTAAATTTCATAATTGTGTTCGCCCACGGCAGGCAACATGAAAATCAAAGCGCCTCGTAAAAATCAATCGGCCATTCGCAGGCTCAGAATTTGTTGAGAAAACATGAAGATGTGGTACGCGACGGAGAAGGAGCTCGACCGAAAATCGCTTTAACGGTTATAAAGCGCCATATATATACATACATTTATATCACGGAGTTCTAATCCTTCAAACACACCTGCATAAAGAATTTAGTCGAAATGTTTTTGTATGCGCGCAATGATGCACAATTTAGTTAATTGTGATAATCTTAACTCAAAAGATATACACACAAAGTATGCTTTTTTTAATTTACATCATCCATTTATTGCTAGCGTTAAAAAACATTAAAAGCGAGAGATCAAAAGGCATGAGTATTCCAAAAGGGTTCCGGGCCAGAATATATTCTTATATTCTACATAGAATTACTAGGCGGCCGATGTCCAGGGCATATTAAGCTTATATAGGGAACACTTCTCGATTCTGTAGTGAAAGGAAATATCAGAAGATGGTGAATCCGGGTCACGAATCGTTGATGATGTGGTTCAAGTAGCAAATTACCTAGCTCAAAAACAATACACCGGCGTGAACTCATGACTTGGCTAAGCTCATAACCATCATATGTAGCACCAGAAATAATATTATAATTTTTTTTATAAATATGAGCCAGTGAAAAGAAATGCAGTCATACGCCTATGCAGCTACGCTTTTGGATTATCCGCGCCATCGTTTTGTCTGTACTTGAGTTGACACTAAGCTTCCTATCCATTATAGGTCACTGTCCTTTAATGGAATTAAGTTCACGAATCACTACTTTGCAAATCAATGAGCTTGATTACATACATATGTATATATGTATTATAAAAAATATCTGATAATAAAACATTCTAGTCAATCAACAAATGCACTTGCCAATCTTTCTGCTAAATCAATCGGTTTTATCATTAGAAGTTATGTACGTCACACCCAAACCCCAACCGCCGTACCTAAAAGTTTGTCAAAGGATATTCAAAAATTTTACCACTGACCTGCATGCCGTACATAGCGTGGAATTTGACGTGTATGGGTGCGTCGACGCATATGATAGTATAAATGCCTTTCCATTGTACAGAAGAGCTTTATCATCCACTATGAAGAGAATGAACGCCCTTAACTTTTTTCATTAATTTCAATAGATAATTGATAACGGCAGATTATGTAATATTTTTTTTTTATGGATACATATATTTTTTTAAATATATTACCGTTATCACTGCTGTAAATATGTGTATACATACGTACTTTTAGTAACAATGCGATAGCAAAAAGCCCCAACATGCAATAAATATAGGAGAGTTCATCCATGTTGTAAAGGCTTCGAATTTGAGCGCGCCAATACAGTTTGAAAGTTCTTTGATTTCGAATTTTTACACAATAAAAATTTTGTATTGATTTTGTTTTGATACTTAATTTGCGCCATATTTGAAGTAGACGTTTGATCAAATAATTTTTTTTTTTTTTTTCAAATAAAATATATGAGAAATAAAACAGAGTGCTAGAAGTTTAATGAAAAAACGAAAATGTGGAATAATGACGAATCGCTTGAAATATTAAAATTATATCAGAAAGCGTCGACCAGAGAAGAAAATGTGACAACTCTTATGAAGGAACGCAAAAAGTATTTCTTAAGCTAAGAGTAATGCTTTCGATCACGAAAAAAAAAAATAATAATAATTTCTGGTCTCTATTTTCAATTGATATGAAATGGTTTTTGCATTTAATACCACTTTCAAACAAAAGAGTTAATGAGATGCAAATTAATTCGGTGCGTTTTCAATAGATGGCTCTACCTGCAAGCAGTGATCGAACTTGTAAGCGATTACCTATTGGAAAGTTTCCCGTCTATCAACAAAAATTAATTTATATCTTTGTCTGCTTCTGACTACAACATATTAGAGATGATATTCCCCCCTGCGGGCTAGTTCCCACCACAGTCAGGTCTTTACCCCGGAACAACCCGGATTTTTATCCGGCCAAGGACTATCACTCCTGCAACATTCCCCAAAAAGTATTTTGGGGAATATTTTTGCAGTTACAAAAACAACAACAACATAATTGATATTCGCAAATTACTTTTGAGATGGAGAAACAGTGCTAGCTGCCGACGTACAATATTTTGAATGACATTTTTTTTAACATTTCGGTGATAAACGCTTTCTTTAAAAAGTTCAGAAAAATAGCAATATTTATGCAAAAATGCATTTGTATAAAAAAAAATATTTTAGTTGGTGAACGTTATAAAATCTCCTAACTAACTAATTAATCAGCTTTTTGGTAAAATCTTATTAAAAACATATTATATTTATATTTCACATTTCGCATGTTATTTAGACACTTTGTAGTAATCGAATGCATTCGATACTATTACGCCCATTAATTATTATTTACTTTCCATTTCAAGGCCGAATTATTATCACATACAAATTAAAGGAGAGTCGCGTTAGAAAATCTGCTAAGGCGCATTAGCAGTTATTTAGCCGAAACTTTCCAAACGAACATTTCCACTTAGCCATGTGCACGAGTGATAAAAAAGAAAGAAAAAAAGAACGAAACACTAATACCAAACGATAACAATTTTTTGTGTGGCAAAAGTGTTTGCTTATTTATACAAAAAGTTTATGGCAAAATATAAATAATCATAGAGCAAATCTATTTAACACAAATATGGCAGGTATTCTTTCACCGGCTTCTAGTTTTAAAATCTTCATCATAATTCGAGTTTTGGATTTCTTAAACTAACCTGCGATCTCAAGACGTTGTCTGGGCCGACGCGATGTGGTATTCGAAGAATCATATTGATTTCGAGTATGGTGTTCCGCTTGATGCTTAAAGCCCTTATAGATTATCTTAATAATGAACGAAAGTGAAATTTATTACACATTTGTATTGTATATGTGAACGTATACGTGTGTTCAATTGAAACAGCTGTTTACTTACGATGAATAGTAAAATCATTAAAAAAGACAGATATATCACGTCAGAGAAATACATTTTTAATTTTTTTGGTATAAATGTGAATATTTTCAGTTTTTTTATTTGTTTTATATTATATTTTTTAAATTTATTTTAATTTTATTTTAAGCACACGTTTAAATACAGCGCGTCTTTCGGCAATTTAATATTAAAAGTATTTACTAATTAGCAATATGAATGACAATAATCGGAGGAAAATTTATCTTATCATTGCTTAGCAAAAGCTTTGGAGCTTTTGGAGCGCACCGCGAGCGAGATAAGAAAAAGCGAGTGGTAATTGTTATGTGAGATTCGAGAATTTTCTTTTTGTTTCTTTTTTAGTATTTGTGGGTGGGTAAAGAAGTGGGAATATGAATGATTTAAATAAGCTGGGCGGGCAAGTGTGCGTAGATTGCTCTATATGGAGTCGCCGTAGCTGTCAAGAGATATAATACATAATGACTTGCAGGTAATTCACAAGAAGTAGGGGAGAACTGATAGCTCACATCGTATAATGGAGGTGGTGAAGCACAAGCTTCACATAAGAAATATTTTGTCTAACCAGTTGTTTAAATTCGTTCGTCAAAACAAAGAAGAACTGACAGGCATCACATTAGACGCTACGTTGAATATTTTTTTATTTTTAATTTATTACACATTTATAACTTTGCTTAGAGCAAGGATGCAGAGGGTATAATGAAAAATAAGATAAACCAATGGAGAAATTCAAGAACGTATTTACAGGCTAAAAATCAACAGAAGAAGATAAACTAATAAAATTCAGACAATCGTGACTATATTATACTAAAGTGATTTCATATTTTATCACCTGTTTTCTGAGCAGATTCAAATATTACAAAAACTTTTGAGACAAAAAATATATTATATATTTATACTACAGTGTTGTAAATAATTTAAAAATAAAAATAATAAATAAATAATTGGTGTCTTTTTTAGAAAATTTATGAAATGTTTTTAAATTTTTTGCACATTTTAAAAATATCTTTAAGGTAAAACCACTCATGCAATCCCTCAAGCATTTTGGTTGACAGCATTTAAAGAAAACTTTCATGTGAGGCTTTAAATGACTTTAAAATTATTTAAACCAAAATTGTTTGACCAAACTTTAACCAATATATGAATGCACTACATAAGAGGGAATGTATGTCTAAGCTAATATTGATAAATCGGAGTAACTGCTTGTAGCAAAATATGTAAAGCTAATATCTCAATAACATAAAAAGGGCACTAGAAATCGTATCTGATTGGGCTTGGAGACAAAGATTCTAAGTAAACTCGGCGAAATCTGAGATATGCTTCTTTACGAGAAAGTATAGAAGAAAGAGGTAATAAAATCTCGGAGTAGTTTTTGATAAAAAAAATCTTTGCTAAGGGCAACATTTCGAATGAAAGCAGCTCATATTAGTATGGTAGGCGACAGCAAAAAAAAATGCCCTTTTTAGTGTTTAAATAGGCGAAACTACCAATTTATTAAGTATATTAGGCGCTAAGGACCTTTTTCAACGAAGGTCCTCAAAGTCAACCTCGACATCAAGAACTGTCCTTGAGAAATGAATACAAGCTCCTATTTGGCATACAAGTAGTTATAACAGAACTCTTGTTAAACGACCAGATAAAGGTAAGGCCATCTGTAATACATCCACATCCATATGTATACTACGAGGCGACGTTGGAACAGAAGCGGGGCTCTTTTACAGCTGGCACAAGATAGTTTAAACTCAATGACTACAACTCTTCATCGTTCAAGATTGTGGGCATTACTAACGGTATTAAATGAGCGACTATTGCAAGAAAAGATGTTAAATATCACTTAGGTTGCAGGTCATACAAATGTAAAAAGCAAAGAAAATGCAACGTTTACTTGTCTGTCACTACCTACTGTCTCAGAGGTTACAGCGTCTTCAAATGTTGTTTCAAGCAATGGACAATGATCAACCTCTCTTTTCAACCAAGCAACCAACCAACCAATTATGTGTATGATAAAATTCGAGGAAACGCAATAACGGTTGAAATTTTGTAAGAAGATTTAATTTTTATGTCAGTACGGTTGGCGTGATTCGAGGGTATTATGTAAAGAAAATTTGGGCTCGTACACATAGATTTACATATTATAACACGTGCGTCTATCCACACGGCTACAGGTAAATTATTATATAAGGATTTTAACACTGAAGGCAACGACAGTCTTGCGTTAAATCACTTCACGCCTTGTGTGAAGAAACAGTGAGAGAACCGAAATGGGTGTGAATGAAAAGCTTGAGAGGCTGGCAGATAGCAATAATATACGAAAATTCTGCGAGAAAATACCGCGACTTACAGAAGGTCCCCAGAGCTGAGCATATTCATATGGTCCACACACACCACAATTGTTTGATAACCCGAAAAGGAGCCTCTACGCCACAGTGCCTGAACTGAGACAGAGCATTACCAAAAGCTACATCAGGTTCGAAAAAGACCTTTCCGGAGCAGCACTTCTTTAAGGCGTAGTTGCCTGAGTAACATACATATCAAAATACTTCGTAAACAAAACAATAAAAATAACATAAACAAAAGAATCAGGCCAATAAAAAATAATTAGAAAATCCTTTCAAGGTTCCCTTTATTCTTTTTTTATTAAATCCTGTTTGATAATTCATGGCGATCAAGCTCAAGAGACACAAATGATCATCCAAACTGTTTACGCATTTAGAAAAAATACATTTTTGTCAGTCTGTTAAGTGACTAATTTTCTCCAAATTATTAGGTGTACAAATTAATTCGGTGCGTTCCGTTCTCCGGAAAGAGTAATTGTTTCCGACGGACAATACTTTTGTTTTTATAAATACTCTTGTAAATATGTTATCTCTCAAAAAATTTCTGTAATCAGTAAAAAGCACCTAAAAATGTTCAACAACCTAAGCTAATCTAAGGCAAAAGCAAGCACAATATATTTATATGTGTAAAATATATATATTGTATTTAAATATGTACATATAACCGCTAAAGCAGTTTTGGGCCTATAAATTTCTGTTAAATTTTAATGGATAGCTCTTATATCATCTCAGAAATACACTATAAGAGTTTGCATTCCCGGGGTAGGGACGCCGCATTTAAAGTTTAAGGGATGTTCTTTTTAGACATGTGGTTTTCAAGAAGAAATAAAACACACATTATTTAATGGTTTCTTTGGCCATACCTTTTGGCTTTAATATAAAGATAAGGGTTTAGTCTTGTATGCTATAGAGTTAACCATAGACTGTAACATTATGGACAGCTTAGTTTTTTCAAGAAATATGAACCAATGTTTTGCTCTGCCCACAGAGCACACCAAACATTCCCATTCATCCAAAAGTGCGCGTTAACGAAATTTCCTTGT